TGAATGTATCTTTACTAGTATTTGTATCCCTATCGGGCACGGGATAAAATCACTTTGCTTTTCAATGGATATACTCTACTGCAGGTATAGATCTCCTATACCAATGGTAATTGATTGTTGGTATAAAATACCGTTAAATGACAATTTGTTTGTAGTGTCTTATTTTTGAACTAATTATCTAAACATGCTTCCAGTCTATATTCTCTAATGAAAAAAGCAATTTATTTATAACTCTCATTTGCATCCAAATGAAATTTCAGCCAAAAAATGCTCAATGCCTATTTTTATCCATTAAATTTCCTTCGTGACTTAGTGTTTTTTCGAAACTAATTATACATTTTTGTAATTTATTTATCTTTAAATGCATGTAGTCAATTTTTTTGAAGATAATAGCCCTTCAAGACTTTAGAATTTTGCACATTGGTCCTTCGATCTCTTTCTTTAAGAAAAGAGTTTGGAATATGTAGTTATGTGAAGTTATGATCATAATATGTGAAGGTGATGGCGGATACAATAGGCTGCCTATTGTTATTGAACAAAGAACGGTTGCATGTTTTAGACTTTTAATAGATAATTTTACCTAGAAGATCAGATGAATAAAACTTATAAAAAGATTCTCATCACATCAAGAGGTAGTTATAATAGAAACATAAACATGTCAAACTATGCAATGAAAAATAAAAAACGCATATCCCATATTTAGAAATGAAAAATGATCTCAATTTTCATGACTAAATATTACTAGATTAAGATTACACGTATGAGTAAATGAATTATCTTTTATACCCAATCTAGGACATGATTGTTATATATGTAATTAATAAAACTTTTGGAGAACTTGAACTCTCAACCAAAATATATCAAGATTATATTAATATATATAGTCAAGTAAAAAATAACTTTTTACTTTCATAAATGAGATCAAAAAATTGATTCCAATTGAAAGTATCCTTAATTAGAAATGTGAACATAAATTTGAGGTAGCTATAAGACAAATGTGTGTTTAGCAAATTTTAACATATGCAGTTATTTTATGATGTTTCACTCTATTCCTCATTTTTAGGAATGATTTCGAAGTTATTAAAAAAAATAAACAATTTTATTGAAATGATATGGGGGTGCTTAAAAGATAAGAAATTTCTCAAAATGAGACTAAAACATGGACTAAATTTCTAAATGGGATTATAAGTTTATTATTCCCTAAATAGGACTCCAGATTACAATTTTATCATTCCTCTTATTAAACTCTACTTCTCCCTGTGTTCTGCGATTTCTTCTGCCCCAGGCCCCACCTCTTGCATTTCTCCCATCGGCACCATCGCTCTGCAAATCAAAGCTTCCCATCAGCGAAATCAATAGCAGCTCTCCCAATCAAAGCCACTGCAGGTTCCTGCAACGGTTACAAGCTTCTTCTTCTTCTCCTCCTCCTCCCCCCCCCCCCCCCCCTCCCCTCGCCTCCCCTCCCCCTCTCCCTCCCCCTCCTCCTCCTCCTCCTCCTCCTACTTAATTTTAAAGGGCTATTTTTTGTAAAAATAAATATAAATAAAAATATACATATATAATATGAGATGTGTTATAAAAATATGATACCAATATTTATTTATGTAAAATAAAAATAATTTTCAACATGCTGCAATTAGGGGACATTTTATTTATTGGCCGAAAATGTGGACATTAAGTTCTAAAACATTTATTTAAAATCAACTTGAATCGAATCAACAAAAAACCTAATCTAACCTAATCTAAATATTTTTATTTATATTTATATTTATATTTATATTTATATTTATATTTATATTTATATTTATATTTATATTTATATTTATATTTATATTTATATTTATATTTATATTTATATTTATATTTATATTTATATTTATATTTATATTTATATTTTAGATGTAATATTGGTGTCATACGAAAGGTAATTATAAATTACAATTTTTGATACTTTTTATGTAAAAATCAAATTATAAATATAAAAAGTTATAGGAATTTTAAAAAAGACTTCTCTTAAGTTGGGGGTCCCAAACATGCTAGCTCTACTTTCTCCTAGCTAGCTACCTTCCTTTATGTTTTCAGATTTTTCAAAACTTGAATCTATTTGTGATCTTAATTTTAAAACTGGACCTATTTAAAAAAAATGAATCCTAAAACCTTCCATCCATCGTATATTCAACATTCTTTTTATTTTTACATATGTAATATTGGCATCATACGAAAGATAATAAAAAATCTTAAATTTTTTATATTTTTTTATAAAAATTACTCTCTCTGTATTTAAAAGTTTGCTACACCTTCCTTTTGGTAGGTTTTTCGTTTAAATATACCCAATTACCCTTTTTGTACTCTATATTCATTATCCCTACTATTTACTCCTTAAATATTTTGCCAAAACTTAATGTAATGATCTTTTAAATATGGAGGGAGTAAAATATACATGAAAATATTATATCAATTCAAAAATGGAGATTTTTTTTGGTTGGGGGTCCCATGAAGTGACTTCCCGATTTTAGAAGAAAGTCGCCTATGATATTGGATTTATGTAGAATTCCAACATAATGGAGGGTGTTTGGCAAATGGGCGTTGGATGTTGGCTGTTGGTTGTTGGCCGATTATGTTGTCTAATTGATGATAGCAGATTTTGTTGGCTCTTTTGATTAGCTGATAATATTAGCAGTTTGTAAAATGATGTTTAGTAAAATGGTTGTTTATAATCGACAGATAATTTGTTAAATGGCTTTTACGGACATCAATTAATTTTTTTATTAATGTCATTAGTACAATTACTTAAAAGGCTTTTACTTTATGATTAAAAAAAATTAAAAACTCTTTCAAATGTGGAAAAATTCAAAACAAAGTTGATTACCAGCGGCACTACAAAGGTTGAGCAAACTGCAAAAGCATGGAGATGCTTGTCGGATGATCTGCCGGGAACGAAGAAGAGGTGTGGGTAAATAGGAAAATAGAGGAGAAACTAAAGATTGATGCCTAAACGCTAAGTTATGTTACTAAACACCCATGTTAGTTGTTTCATCCGGTCAAAAGACCAATTATTAGTCAGTAACCAAACACCCCAATGGCTTAGTCCTTAATTAATCTAAGAGCAATTCTAATCCAACTTAAATTCTTTAAATAGGACTTATGTAACCCTATTAAAAGAATAAGTTGATTAAAACTTTCTAAAATATGAGTGAGTGAGTTATATTTTAGAAATAACACGATTATAGTACTGTTTGTGAAATTTACAACTATTTTAATTCTCTTTAGGAAATTTCCTCTTATTTTTATTTGTGATGTTAGGATTCTTTTAAATTTATCCACTTTGTGAAATAAAAATAAAACTTTACATTAAATGTGACTTGGAATTCTAATTTGGTTAAATTCTAATCTAACTCGTGGCATTCTAATTTCTAGTAATTCTAATCATAATCTACAAAAGAGTTTTCAAGTAGTGCTAGATTTTAATGGTATACGGGCTATCTCTCTCTAGGGCGTGTCACCGGCACTCACCACCGCTAGAGCTTTTTTATTCCCCTATCGATTAGGTCGAGGAGCGACTGTTTCGAGGAGTTTCGCTTCGGGTGCTACGCAGGTGGCCGGACGGAAGGTGAGGGGGGAACGATCTCTCAGGCGTATCCACAAGACAGGAGAGTCCGCTAAGGGTGTTGTGCAAGAGTCGGCTCATCCCATCGGGATTTTCGCTTTGGTTGCTTAGGTCGCTTCCTGCAAGACTAACGGGGTCGGGGGTGCAACGAAGAGGGGTGATGACTTCAATTCTGGTTTAGCAGCAGTGGATTTTGATGGAATCCATTGTCAATCAATATAAGCATATGGCTATCGATGGGGATACTAAGGTGTAAGGAATAAATTGTATTTAGATTTTGATAATGCTAATCGAATTAGGATATTAGAGTATTAGAGTATTCGACGACCAGAACTGTCAAGATCTTCTACCACACCTTCTGGACAGAATTGCTCAAACGACTAAGGGACTTGGTCGTGCAAAAGAGCTCCCAGAACTGTGTGTCCTTAGAAGATACACCCATTCATTGTATTCAATCAAGGATCTAAAGGATAAAATGTGTCGATACTCAATATATGACTGAAGGATTGAAAACTATGAATCTAAGACTTTGAATATCTTTTATATTAGTTTTCAAAAAAAGAATATCAACTATTTAAATTTTCATTAAACCAGTTGCTCATTTCTAATGATTTTTATTTACAAAAGTTTATTAATTTAATAAGATTAAATAATAGTTAAAAATTTAAAAACCCATGATACTTTCGGTGTTAAATTGATTATTTTCAATCATATAAGCCCTATATTAATACACTTTATCTTTCAAGTCTTTCATTGATAGTGAACTTGTCTTTTAGATTCTAAATTGATGAAATTCTTTCTTTTAATAAAAAATGGCCCCCAAAAGGCCAAAACCAAAGAGTTTACCCAGGTGGCCGGCCAGGCCGGGTAAGGTTTTGGACTTTTGGTTCCATGTAGGGATGGACTAAATCGGGCCGGGCCGGCCCAGAACCAGCCCAGAACCGCTACTGTGCAGGCCCGGACAGGACCAGGACCGGTTGGCCGGTTCCGGGCTTTTAGCCCGTTTGGGTGGGCCGGGCGGGCCGGGCTCAGGCCCAGTTTTGGGCGAACCGGCCCGGACAGTTCGGGCCAGGCCCGGGTCATATATATTTTTTTTTTCAATTTTTTTTCTTTTCCTAGGGTAGGGCTGGGTGTTTTAGGGAGGTTTGAGGGTGGGGTGAGGGGGGGGATCAGGGGATAACAAGAAAGCAAAAAAAAAATTAGACATTGAACCGGGCCCGGCCTGACCCGGTTAGGCCCGGACCCGGTATCAACCCGGGCCGGTTCCGGGCCCAAGTATTTGCAAAAAAAGCCCACCCGGGCCCGGCCCGGGTCCATCCCTAGTTCCATGTAGCCCTTACCTGGCACCAAGTGGTCCAGACTCCAGAACTGGCACAAGTCAACCCCTCTTATGTATCCATCAAAATCTTGAAAAAAATGAATAAGACTAAAAATGCAAGCAACAAAACAAGATACTGTTGCAATACATTGTACATAGTCAATCTACATATTAATCTCTCAATCTGGCATAGACTATTTATGATTGTATATATCTGATTATATATCTCACAATTTACAAAAAGAACATAATACCCTAATTAATTGCAAAACATTTTTAGCTGTAGAAATGTAGAATCTGAATCAGACCGCCATTCCTTGAAGAAAACCTGTACACCGTGTGCCTAAAGCTTAAAATGTCAATGACAACACATATTCCGCATGCCACTCCATATCTTAACAGAGAGCAGTCGGTCTTTTGAAATCCATACTTGGATCTTTCTTATATTGTATCTTTCAGCTAGATCACATGTGTGAAGAGATGGCCATGCCACTTCCAACTTCTCCACAGTTTAAATGGATCCCTAGCTTGTGGGGTAACAAGTAACAACTATAGAAAGAGACAAGCTCATTACTACAGATTTTGGTGTGTTAAAGTTAAGATGTGGGCTGTTATTCAGTGCTACACCATTTCTAGTACTTTAATACAGCCGGTGGAATTGGCGGCAACAACCATGTTTGATTTACGTCTCCAGCAGACGCTTGAAACAAACTGTCCTCTGTCATCATTAGTTTCTTTGCCAGAGATTGGGTCAATTGAACCAAACTTGTAAGAAGTAATGGGCATGGGCTGAGATTTGTGATATGCAAATACCTGAGAAAGAAATAAGTGCCCTTCAAGATGAAAGTGGTTGTTTGGGGCAGACTTGATAAAAAATAGTAGCAAGAGAAATACTTGTACTCAAAAACTGCAACTACATCTACTTATTTGCTTTTATTAAAAGGGTACCAAGTGCCCGTTTGGTAACCATGTTTTTTTGGCATATAAGGATGTTTCTAATTGGATCAAAATTTTATGATCTGGTCTGGTAACCGTTTGGTGTGTGCGTATTTTATTATTGACCATGTCTGGTCAGTTTTAAATACGGTTTGGTCTGGGACCGAAACTAACTCAATTAAAAACACCATAAGCCTTATATGCGAGATCTTTTACCCAATACTAATTTTTACTTCACGTGCTAATCTTAATAATGAAAATAAGCAAGATTGGATGAAGTTTTACGGAAAATTTGACAGAAGATGGCAATTTTAGCTTTTTAAAAAAAACTTTATATAATACTACCCCTGTACGGCTGTACCCAAATTGATTTGCAAATTTGACTTTTCTTGATCAAACAGTTTCATTTTATTCGCTTAATTAGGATGTCCATTTTTTATTATATTCTAATTTGGACTTTGCAACTTTGAAAAGATTTCAATGTAGTTTCTGAATAAGTAAATTTAATTATTAAAAATTAAATTAATTATCGATAGAGAGGATTGACTTTTATTATTGGTTGACCAAAAAATGTTGACTTTGCAAAACAATTTGGGACGGAGGGAGTATATAATATATTCCAATATAAACTTTATTTATAATATTCTTCTAGACATTCAAACAATTCATCATTTCAACTACAGCTTCAGCAGACTCGGCTGGTTCAATCTTACCAAACAGGCTCTAATTAACACCTACATACCTAATCATCTAAGCATTCCCTGACCCCCACCCACTCCCCACCCTCAAGAAATGAATTAAACAAATATGGAGTAGTAACCAAACGGGCTGCAAGCATTTATCGTGAATCAAAATAAAATGTGTAGATATTGTAAAGAGTGCAGATAGATGGGCTAATAAGAAAGTGATTCCTACCTCATTAGTCTCAGAGCCACACGAAATATATCCATTAGCTGCAGACAATCCCACAAAGTTCTGAAAGACAAAAGAAAACCACATACGTCCATTAAAAGGTATATTACATTGTTGTGTGATAAATATCAATTCACGAAAGAACACACACACACACACACACACACCAGCTAACCTTTTCATTGGTATGTCCTCCAAGGGTTAAGATGCAAGCATCGGTAGATGAAGAATTTGAACTGGCTTTGTTGAGATCCCAGATTTTAAGTGTGTTGTCCGTAGACGCAGAAACTAGAGTGTTGCCATCCAAGAATTTCACATAGCTAACAGCTTTCTCATGGCCAACCAATGTATGGCAGGGAATTGAAATATTTCGAAGATCATAGCAGTAGATCTTATAGTCAGCAGAGGTATAAGCTAGCATATGACTGGATTCTGGAGAAAACTGGACACAGCATACATTTGCACTGTTTTTTATTGTGCTGATGCTGTTCTTCTGCACCAACAAATAAAGAAGCTAGTTTTTGACATAGAAACAAGGAAGAGTTGGGAATATGCTGTTCCTACTTCAAAATTCAAATGTATTCTTATGCAGTAGACTAGTAGTAATCCCTTTGTTCCAATAAAAAAAGTCATGTTTCGAGAAAGAAAACAAATGTTTTTAATGATTTTTTTAAGGAACAGTAAACAACTTAAATAAGAATAAGAGCATGTTTGGGAGGAGTCATTTAGCTAAATCTGCTGAAAATTCTGATAGGAACAGTTTCAGCAACGACCATTTGAACTTAATAAGTAACTAGTGAAAAGCCACTTACTCTGCTTGTACTGATACGAAGAAAAAATATGCCAAAAAAGGCTACCAGACGGACTTTATATTTAGTTAAACAAACAAGCTGCAAATACAAGTAGGTTGATGCTTATAAGAGATGTACCTTACCCAAAGTTAAAAGTTCTATTTCGGTTATACATGACTCTTTTGCGGGACGAATGTATTAATAATGATATAGAATGTGTTTTTTCTCTTTATTTTCATTTTACAGTAAACAACTGCATTCTATGACATGCAAGTGAATAATGATTCTCTTTTTAGTCTTTGAGGAGATAACAAGTTCACACACTGACACACATAATCTGAGCTCATGAAGAAAAAGGCATATCAAAGAGAGAAAGCATGCCTCATTAATACTCCAAAGTTTTACAAGACGGTCATCACTTCCACTTGCTAACTTGGTTGGATCGATGCGTGAAAAATCAACAGACCAAGCTCTTTCACTGTGCTCGTTCAAATGAAAAAACCCTTGACCTGATGTTGCATCCCATAACTGAAAGTCAAGAATCACAAAAAAGCTAATTAAGATTTTGCCGAGCCTGCAGAATCAGGAATTTCATGCCCAGCAATAGTGAACACTAGAAACAACTCAGTAAAGGAAGAAGAAATGATACATTAGAAAAACGAAATAGATTGTGGACTTTGTATCCTAGTGGATCAGAGTTGAAACGTACTTCATGAAAATCAGCAAGTTTATGCAAATTAACATGCAAATTTTCACAAGATCCTTAATAGTCACTGTAACAAACTTTTAGTACTATGAATATAAGCTGCCTAGTCTAAACATAAAAAAATTTGAATAAGTACTTTTCATATGGGTTTTCAATTTCAGTTACTGCCATTTGAGTTACTGCCACTGGATGAGTTGTTTCCCTCAAGTCAAGCCATTTGCCACCTAGCTTACGCCTTAGATCGAGGGCTAAGACAGGCAGACTAACTCCTTATAGAACCGGTCATTCTCCATGACATTACGGTATTAACTCCTTCATATTTTTATGGTAATGTGCGTTAAAGTGCATTCTCAAAACCACAACATTTTATCCTGCGACTATCAAAACATATTTAAATCAGCATTCTTGATAAGCATATCGTTTGTTTACAAGGAAAACTTGATCATTGTTTGCCAAAACCACAGGACCAAACAAAATGAATAATACTTTATTCACAATGATAATGGTTGAGACATTCCAATATTGCCATAAATAGATCAGTATTCACATCGCACAGACAATCAGACAGAGAGTAGTCTTGCCCTGATACAAAATGGGCTATTGACAAAAGATATATTCTTTATAGCATAATAATGCAGCATATTTCATAAAGAAAACAGACTATGAGGGGTATGTGCTTATCCACTGACACAAAAATACAAAATGTATATTCTTTGAAGATCAATAATGCAGAAGATTTCATAATGATGGAAATGGCATAGTTCTTGGAAAGTTCTTAAATTAGCCATCAGTGAAACTGCACGTGGAGAGTTGAAATTTTATCAAGTAGGATAATGACATTTTACACGAAACAACTGATCAATGCACATATGCGCACCTTTACTACACCATCATAGTCAGTGGTAGCCAGATAGTTTCTGATATAGCTGTTCCAGCAAATGCAGCTGAGCTTTGAGTTGTTTGACATTTCAAGAACAGGATAATGAATGTCGACAGAGTCATTAAAGAGAGCATTGTATTCATATATCTTGATTTTCTTTGACACACCGCCAGCAGCTAAATATTCCTCGTCTCGATCAAAGCTCAAAGAGCATATTACATTTGCAGAGCTATTGAAGTCTCCATTTCTTACAACTCCACAAACTTTGAACTTGCTATATCGAGCATACTTGCACAGACCATCAAAGAAACCTCCAAGACTGTCACTGTTTTCATACATCTCTCCATTGATTCCAGTCATACAGTTGTTTTTCTGATTGTTAAAAATTTGTCTATTTCCGCTCATTTTTGCATCATTATTACTGGAAGGCTGAATTGTTGATCGCATGGAGAAATAAGCACTCTCCAGCTGCCGTACACTGTTCAACTTCATCTCGTCCATTTGAATATACCTGCTTCCAGAAGTACCAAGGAACTCATGACTTGGGGAGGAAGAAACTGAAAATTGTTTGTTCTGTCTTCTATGAACTTCCTGGATATCTGCTTCTATACACTTGAGCTCTTCAGCTATCTTTGAGGCATTATTTTGTTTTTGTTCTTGCAGCAAGGAAAGGAAGTATACCAATAGTTCTGATTCAGAGTCCTCTTCAATAATAGAAGACAGTACCTCATCTCGGGATTCTTTTTTCCCGCCTAAAATTTCAGATTGAAGAATTTCCCTGTAACAAAAACCTATAATTATATATTAAGCTAGCAAACTTAAGTTTTGGATGCACATTCGAAGCAGCATTAAATTATTAAATTCGTAAATGTTATTGTTCATACTGCATAGCAAGTGCAGTTTTAAGCAATATATGCGAGAAGGTAGAATGAACTAATGATGTTTTCTAAGTTTGGGAAACCAACACATCTATTTAAAAATTGGAATCATAAATATTGTTTCTTATCCATGTAGGAAAACAAATTCATAGTGTTAGGTATCCACTTGGAAGTGAAACAATACCAACTTAAACTGCCAGCTTAATAAACACGGTGTTCATAAAAAGGTGTACGTAAAACAAGGGATTTTATAGCATACTTAATTACGTTAACCGCATGAAATATCACCGCAATACCAAAGTGCTCTACTATTTCCTTGGAACAGAATTAAATATATATAGTATATGGAAAAAGACAAAGAAAAATTTCCTAGTATTTTGGTTTTATTTCTCACAGATCACAGATTACCAACCGAAAATAAAAAGAAACAATAAAAAAACAAAACAAACATTTTTTCACTCCCAAAACAATAAAGAAATGGAAAGTGAATTCATCACCTCAAAGAGTAGAATTACATCTTTCCAACTGAACAGAGTAAAAGTATACTGTAACTACGCATTGTTGCTTTTTAGAAACCAACCAACTTAAGAATGCTTGCTTGCAGACATGGCGTGACTTAGCTCCATATAGATCCATACCTCTGAGGAGCAGCTAAGTTTCTCAATGCTACTATGTCTATGATGATGCAAACCATAATTTGTCTTAGCTATTCCACAAAAAACATGTAAATCAATGGAGCAGACTGACACCCATACGTAACACATACACACTTACAAACTCTTACATTTGTATCTAAAAAAATATTTTGCTGACATGGTCCCATCATCTCAAAGTTCCCAAATTTCAACATTCTCCCTTTGTTTTCCTAAACTCTCCCCTTTATCTAATTGCTAAGAGAGCACAGCTCATGGACTCTCTAGTGCAAACTAATTGCCTTAGAATGGGTTTCTTAGCCTCTAATCGGATCACTAGAAATGTGCAACAAATGAAGCATGCATACTTAATTACAAGAGGTGAGAGACAAGCGAAGATAAAGAAAACATTTTTAAAAAAGAAACTTGCATATGTGAAAAGCGCTTTAAGATTGAAAAAGAGCAAAAAAATTGTTTTTGGCAGCAGTGCTTTTTCAAAGCACATCCAAACAGATCATGACTACAACTGGATATTACCTTACAGTTGGCCTTGATGAGGGCTCTGGGTGAAGTAACCAAAGGCAGAATCCAGCTTCTTTTGGATTTTCGGACAGGAAACTAGGAGGAAGAATTCTATGACTGAGATCTTGCATTGCAGCGGCATAAGATTTTCCAGATCCAGAGTTAGAAAAGCCAAGTAACTAAAATAAACAGCATGGATTAGTCTCATCATTACTCAGTTGAGTATACCGAGTAAACTATTTTGTGACTAAGACTTGGATGTTGTTGTATTACTCAGTTGACTTTAGCCATTACAACGTACAATCACTGCAATGCTAAAGGAAGAATGACAAATCTATTTGTCTTGTGTATAGGAAAACATATGGGGGTTCTTATGGACCAAATTTAGAAGAAATAGAATAGACTACATGCATGCATTAAGAAATTATGTACAGATTGTACTTATACAATGTATTTCCTTTTAATTCATTTCGACCCGAAAATCTTTTGGGAATAAGGCTTGGATGTTGGTGTTGGAGTGGAATCAATGCCAATTCCTCGTCCTGTATTCATATAACTAAATACGTAGTAAATACCATTATTTACTATAACTAACTATCATGTTAATTATAACTACACCATAACGGTCACATGCAATTATGCAAATGCAATAGCATAACTCCCTAACCTACTAGATGTTTCAACTGGCTTCAATCCAATTCCTACAAAAACATCTGAGGAGTCCTCACTCCTCACTATTCAGTCCAAGATTGTGTGTGAATAGCCTTTTGGTCCGAAAGTTTCCATTTGTACAGTAACAAACTATACACTAGAAGTTCTCAGTCACTTCTTCTCATTGTGCTTCTAATCATTGAAGATGATCTATAAGTTGTTGGGCTTAGTGTCTTGCATTAGAATCTATCGATCTTTGTTATTGTCTCTTGTCAATATGAGTAAACTTATTTACTCAACCAACACCTAGCAAACTGTTACCAGTAACAAACATACGACGTTGTGTTAATGGACTAAAAATGCATGTATGACATAAGAGGCGACTGTTTTCAAGAGTAGAAAACCAGGGAATGCAATACACAGGAAGCACAACTTTTCCAATGAATAGATAGGGCACAGAGTTTAAGGGGAGGCATAAACTGCTTGAGATTCTAATACAAAGTATCCTAGATTTCAAATACTATTAACATTTGAGCAGCTAAATCTGAAACTGAGTTTTATGATTCCTATCTAGACAGCACAGAGCACATTTTATACAAGAAAATGTTTTCATTTATGACAAAGACAACAGAATGTGTGTGCATAAGAGATGTCCACATACCTCAAAAAATAGAACTCCTAGACAGTATATATTTGAAGAAAGTGTGCAACTTCCCTTCTTCATTTGTTCAGGACTGGTATACCACTTAACTTCCAAAATACAACTTACAGAAGTCAGCAATGGTTGTGGGCTTCTGGACAAATCAGGGGAACTAAATTTTCTCTCACTATTAAGCTTATGTACTTCCTTGGCATCCTTGGCAGAACCCCGTGGCCAAGGAATACCTGAATTAGTATTTTGAGGTGTTGACCAGACACTTGATTTCGGTGGGAATTGAGGCAATCTTCTGCTAACGCTCATGGGATCACCAAGTTTCAGCTTTTTAGCATTATGAATCACTGAGTTATGCACGATGTTCTCCAGTGGCCTTTTCAAATGATCCGGCTCTGTTTCAGGAGCATCTGTATCTATCACATTATCAGAGGACTCGGTGAGCACAGAGGCTCCCATATACACAACTTGGTTTGGTTGCAGCAACTTGAAGCAGGATGGCCTCAAATCTAGTAATGTGATTCCCTGAGAATGAGAAGAGTCCACCAGATCCACAATTTGCTTGAAGATAGACAAACTTTCAGCTTCTCTGGTCTTATTTATCCTGACACTTAGCCATTCTCTCAAACTGACCCCGTCCTGATAAGTAATGGGACGCAAAACACAATCTGCCACCGGAGAATCTAATAAAGATATATTAGCACAATCAGAATGAGTTTGGTCAAGGTACTCCCTTCCCAATGATTTGGCATTTAAGCCTCTATGTACAGTTCCCTTTCCCTTTAATGCACTCTTTGCGAAGTACTGTGAAAACCCAGACTTGGATACGATTTTTGTTCGGATAACCCGCGAAGACATGTCATTCAAACCAGACTTATCTTCATTACTGTGTGAATTTCCTGTGACCAAATTGTGCCTTTCATTTGCGCATTTCTGATTTTTCTCCAAAAAATCAGTAAACAGTTTGTCTTCTTCGCCTTCCAGGGAATTCAATAATGTGGAAGGTTTTTCTTTGTCAATGGCTTCTCTATGCAAGCTTCTTTTTCCTGATCCGCCAGCTGTTTGATATAAAGGTTTACATTGGTTGGGTCTGATCTGCACGCTCTCTCTGTTTCCTGGAATGCTGACTATAGCTAAATTTCCATTATTATAGTTTTTCAATGTCAACTCTCTAACCATAATCTCATTATCATCAGTACAACGGGGACTTGAACTGGCATATCCTGAAGAGCCAATTCTGCCCATTTTGTTGCCATCAAGAATATCAATGAAATACTGGGAGGGGCCCCCATGCTGATTACGCTCATTCAGAGTAAGCACTTCATGTGATTCCTGAATACCATGCTCATGCAATTTCAAACTGTGTTCACCTTCTTTATTTCTGAAATCTGTTCCATCCACAGCAAGCATTTCATTCACTGCATCATCCACACTCTCATCCATATCATAAAAAATGTTCTTATTCAGTCAAGTGTTAGATCTGCGCTGCAAATTTAGATTTTTTCATAAATCAATGACCTCGTTTAACTTAATTGAATTTCTAATTTTCTATAGCTATTCAGAATTACTGGAACCTGGACCTTCGAGTTCTCAAGATCAGAATCCAGAAGTCCCAAATGAATAAGAGACTAAAACCTTCCATATATGTTAGTGTTCATAAAGAAATCACATCTCACTCCATATATACTCTCTTCGTCCCAATTTGATTTGAAAAAGTTGACTGGCACAAGAATTAAGGAAGGTAATAAATTAAGTTTGGCTTTACTATTTTGCCCTTTCTCCCATAAAGTAGAGGCTTTAAGTAAATGGAAAAGGCGTAAAAGTAACGGTAAGTTTGTCACTTTATTCAACCTCTCCATACCAAAAATAAAAAGTTGAAAATCATTTTGGGACAACCAAAATGAGAAATTTTGCAAATCAAATTGGGAAAGAGGGAGTAGTAAATAACTATATATTTGAAGTGACCGTGAGGATACTGATATTAATGTATCAAAACCAGTATGGCAGCTGCCATTCGATGTCTATCTGAATGCACTAATTTTCATATTTTACATATTCTGATTTTGAGCCAAGATTCTTCAACCAGTATTATTTCACTCTTTATCATGTTGTACATGCTTTGATAAGTCAAGTATCTATAAAACGTGCATGTTGTACATGTTTTGTAACAATCAATAAATATTGCACATTGTACTTGCACATAGTTTGATGAGCCAAGATTCTTCAACCAGTATTATTTCACTCTTTATCACGTTGTACATGCTTTGATAAGTCACGTATCTATAAAGCGTGCATGTTGTACATGTTTTGTTTAGTAACAATCAATAAATATTGCACATTGTACTTGCGCATATTTGATGAGCCGAGAAAAGGTATCAAAGTTAAATGAATTGTACAAATAATCTCTTAAACATGAATGATGTACATGCTTTGATGAGTCAAGTACCACTCAAAAAGCCTTGATTCACTCTCTCTAATGTTGTGCACATTTTGGTGAGTCGATATCTAAAAGTAAATATATGAGAAGAAACCCAATTTGGCTTATAAGTTATTATTGTGAACCTTCGATTAACTTATTTTTTTTTAGTATGTCTCTCACATTTATTTGGAATGCCCCAAATGTAGAAGATGGTTTAATAACAAAAGCAGGCTGCTTTCTTTTACATTTTCCCCGAGATGAATTTTACATGATACAAAAACTATTTTCTCCCACTGATATTCATAACCTAGCTATGAGAATTCTTTTCTTTAATTCCATAACTTAAGAGCCCGCTTAGTATCCCCATCTTTTCAACTTATCAGCCTTAGAACATCTCCAGCGGTTAGCTAATTACCCTCATAACTTGACTAGCCACATAAGCATTTGCAGCAAAATTAAAATGTACGCCAACAGTTAGCTATAACTTCTTCCTCTTCATTTATTATTAATAATATTATATTTAATAATTCTCTTTGCTCAAGCTAGTAGCTCATTTGGGCTAATTAGCTTTCTCAAGCAAAAGGAAGAGCAATGCTCCAATGGTAAGTTATTAGCATGAAATTTGCAAGCATGTCCGTAAAAGGAACCATTGAAGATGCTCTTATCAATCATTATTTTAACAAACATGCGGCTTTTGATTTCTTGTGCAGAATTGTATAATAATCAAAAGACTTAAATATGTTTTTAGTCCCTGCAAATATGACCCTTTGTTTTAGGTCACTGCAATTTTTTTAATCCTTGTAATATGCATTATTTTGTTTTTAGTCCATCTCTAATTCGAAACTACTCTACTTAAAAAAATGTAGGTTGCGTAAATCTATTAGATATCGTTTTATATTATTTTGAGGTAATATGAGTTAAAACAATTTCCCATCATTTGCAATAGAGCCCAAGACTCACTATTTTTTGGGTTGGGAATATGATGGAGTAAAGCAAAATGGCTTACTAAACTGTCTGCGCTTCTTTGTTATGAAGCAACAGTCAGTCCATGCAATTTTGGACGCGATTTTCACTATGGGTCATCCGGATACAGTCTCTTTGTGCTTTGTAGTAAGGGGGCGTATATCCGACTTCCCTTACCCCACCGAAGGTGTGGGAGCCTTTCCAGCACTGGAGTGATGATGATGATGAGTTAAAACAATGTAAAACTAATTATTCACATTTTAAAAATATGTATTAAAATCCTTCTAAAAAATAAAATTAAATCCTTCTAATTATTCACAATGTAAAACTAATTATTCACATTTTCACTATGGATCATCCGGAAACAGTCTCTCTGTGCTTTAGTACAGGGGCAAATCCTTTTTGAGAAGCCGTTGGTCCCTGCAATTTTGGACGCGATTTTCACTATGGGTCATTCGGATACAGTGTCTCTGTGTTTTAGTAGTAAGGGGGCGTATATCCGACCCCCCTTACCCCACCGAAGGTGTGGGAGCCTTTGCAGCACTGGGTAGTGATGATGATGAGTTAAAACAATGTAAAACTAATTATTCACATTTTTAAAATGTGTATTAAAATCCTTCTAAAAAATAAAATTAAATACTTTTTGAATATCATGACAAAGAATTAGAGGAAAGCTATTACTCGGAGTTGTTTCATTGTTAAACGGAGATTGTTATCATCGGTAAAGGACTAAAAAGAAAACCAATAGATGAAAAACAAAAAAAAATATTTTGAAGAGGTGTAAAATAAAATGTATTACTCCGTATATTTAACGGGACTAAAATCATATTTAAACCTAATCATTAAGTACAGTTGAAGTTTCTTTTCTGATGGAATTGACTAAAGTTAATGTAGAAAACCATTGTAGCTAGTTTTCATATAAATATTTCTTCTATTTTATTAATGAAATATATTTTACATAAGGAGTTTAACTTTTCCATAATTATGGAGATTCAAACAACTCAATAGTTTCGGCCACAATTTCATCAATTTCAACCGAACAGTTTCAGTTTTAGCAAACGGGCACTAAATCTCACAACAAACTACCAGAATCATTTTCTTAGATTCGTTATCTTATATCTCACAAAAAACTATGAGAATCTTACTCTTAAGCATCATAGCTAATATCTCACAAACAAACTAACCAGTGTCTACCTGGCATTGAAACAGAAAAGGAAAGGAATGAAAAAGGCTGAAGTTTCCATTTTTTCCAAATTTTACTGATTAGTTACAAACACTTCGCATCCCCTCCCTAGAGACAGGAGGAGGAGAAAACAGGCAATAGTGTGAAACACCGTTGGAGCTGAACAGAGAAGTGTGAAAATAAAGTAATCTGGAGGATGTTATCGTTTCAGTTTCCCAATTAATTAAGAGGAAAAGTAATTGCATATACGCACAAATTCAGATGAGTTCTAATTCGGCACATTAAACGCAAGAGATAAAGCAAATTCGAGTGAGAAACGTACCGAAATGAGGAACTCGCTGAGAAGGAGCAGAGAATTTAGAAGAATAAAACGGATTTTTGAGAGCCATAGAAAAAAAGCCCATAGGAAGAGGGGGAGATCTCTTCTTTTGTTCTTGGAGTATTTTCTTCTATAATGCTTAAGTTATATCCGTATTTTAGAGAGATTTACGGGACTGTGATGGTGGCCACTTGACTCCCTTCAGCATTAGTCATTAAAAAATGATGAATTGGTCTAAATAAGAATAAAATAAAGAGAGTCTTTGAAAAGAGTATAATTGTGCGAGAGAACTTTTTCTCATATATGTAGTGCTTTTAGGTATAAGAAGATAAATGAATTTATAATTGAGCAAGATAATTTCTCTCTCATATGTTGTGCTTTTAAATATAGATAGATAGATAAACGGACTAATAATTAAATGTGAAAATTTTTCTCTCTCATGCACACTACTTTGATGTATAATAAGACAAAGAGAATTAATAGTTGAGTGAAAGAATCTTCCTAAAAAGCATGAAGAAGATTTTACTTTAATTTTCTTTTACTTTGAAGATTTGTTGTGTTGATTTATATTTTTTGACATTCACTTATTATTATACTCCATTTTTTAAATGATGTAAAATTGTAAAAACAATCTATATTTATATTTAATTAGATCGTGAATAAAAATATATATGAACCAATTCTTTTATCCCGGGTATTGTGCTAGTTAGTCATTAAAAATTGATGAATTAGTCTGGATAAGAATAAAATAAAGATAGTCTTTGAAAAAAGAATAAAATTCCTTCAAAAAAAGAATAAAATAAAGGGAGGATTATTAGCTCAATCTTCCATTTTTAAAATTCAATTGATTACATCTTGTTATTTTCGCTCTTTACTCCTCTCATCAATATTAGTCTCAATTGTCTCAAATGTGAGGTTTCAAAAGTCAAAATAATTAATCATGATTATAAATTATAATTGGTGCTCATTATTTCTTATATCACCCCACCTCCTTCCCCTTCATACCAGAACGTTTCTGGAAAATTCACTAGAAAAAATTGTTAATAGTAACAGTGACATGAGTGACATGTTCGACAGTGGTAGTTACACAAGCGATGGTGGCACCAACATGAACTTTAGTTACTGAAACTCATATAAAAATTATCATTAACATAACAAACCGATCATGACAAATGTAGTTCTAATACACAGAGTTATGGAAAATACACATTAATCCCTAGATAAATACATTATTAAAGTGTAGTTATTCGAATCTATTATCCTATAAGTCACACTTTTATACATTTGCTATCCAAATTTATCATTAAGTCACATTTTTGTGTATCTATTATCCAAATTTATTATCCTATAAGTCACACTTATCATCCCCAAAATCATCAACAATTAAAATCCGAATAAAATAGTTTATTTGAATATTGCATTTAAGGTTTACGGATAAATAAAATTTGTTGATAAAATGCAACTAAAATTACTATGAATATATTTTTATGGTACTGTAGTATACAAATTTAAAATACTTATAGACACTAAGGGGCCATTTACTTTTTTCTCATTAAGTATTGAATGGATTAAGACGTTTGTCTACATTAAGTTGTCTGTCTGAATTAAGTGACTCTGAGATAACAAACTGTTTACTTAGTGAGCTGAATAAGATGTCTGAATTGTATCAAATGACCAAACAACCATCCTGTCTGGAACAAGAGCTGAATGTATATTGATGTTTAATCCACATACACATTTGCCTCAATACATTTGAGCTTAAATTTATTACTAAAAATGTAATTACACCAGTACATTGTTTTGACAAAATATATTTAAAAGCTAAAACAGTTGCTTAAGAAAGATCATTCATTAACATCACCAACACAACCATCAGATATTTCAAGAGTACATCTGCACATAAAACAGGGCAATGAAGAAGTTTTTAGTTCAGAATACAAGTTCATCAAAAGGTCTTAAACCGTTGGTTCTATAATCTTACCCATAACTACTGTTAGAGATTCATATATTCCAATTTTATATCAGGAAAGCACTAAAGATAGTTTATTCTCAAACTACTGAATGAGCTAGTGGAAATGTTTCCCTTGAATTGAATCTCTTTTTGAGTAGTTGTAAACACAATTTCAAACTCAAAGAAGCAAAAGGTACAGAAAAGAACAAGGCAATAAACATATGTGCCTATTCTTTTCATGGTTCGAGCAAAGCCACCCCAGCAATTACTTGCATCAACCGTAGATCTATCTACTTCCACATAAATAAAACCATGGACACTAAAAAACTGCAATCACTTGCATTCACTAAAGATAAAATCTGCCTTCAATTGAGAGTGGACTGGGCTTCGAAGAGTATGACAACAACCGGCAAACCGCCGCGCACAGAAAGCCAGAAACTAAGCAGTGAAGCAGTCCAAACCGGCAAACCGCCGTGCACCGTCCAAGTGCTGAGCTTAGGTTGGGATTTGGGGTTTTGCCGAAACGGAACGCTGTGTACTATTGCGGCTGCTAGTCTGCTGCCGTGTTGTCTCTTCCCCTGCGCGTGTGGAGTTGGATTTGGGATGTTGAGACTTAGGGCCGTGGTCTAACTGTGGGCTTCGCTGGAAGGATAGGAGAGGGCGGATGAACAAATCTACGGATGAAGAAGTTGGGCTTTGAAGAAGTTAGAGTATCGCCAAAGATCGCAAGATGCTCAGGTCGACGATTTCAGCAAGGTTTGTAGACAGAATGTTGTTGTGAGCGATGAAATATTTGAAAGGAGCTAAGGTTAAAGAAGGCATTCCTTGAAGGCAGAGGCGTCTGAATCGTAAGGACTAAGGAGTGCGAAAATGAAGCTGAACGAATCAGCCCTAATTTGACTGAGCGAATAAGTCATATCTTTAATTCAGTCCTAAATAAACACAATTATATAACTGATTGATTAACTCAATGTTTACATTCAGCTCATTAAGTCCAAAGTAAACAGCCTCTAAAAGTTATTAAATCAATTTCTCATTAACCATGATTATTTTAGTCGTATATTAGGAATTATTTCTAAATAATATTGGTATATTACATTGAAACATATTAAATGTAGTGTTTCGGGTTTTACCGGTTCGAACCGGGTCATAGATTTTAGGGATCATATCATTGGTGAGCCTGAATTTTCGGGATCAACCCGGTTATATATAGGGGGGATTACCCCAATAAGACACAAAGCTAACAAGTTTCCAAAATTAGGATCACATACCACCGTAGGACCAAACATGAAAGTAATTGACTATACTACCCTTATTTTAAATAAGATGTCATCTTTAACCATAAGACCTCCTAATTCATCGCAACAGTCAAATCCACGACTCTCAAATCTGCAAGTCCGCTAATCCTCACGCCAATGGCAAAAGGACGAAAGAACACAATCGCTGAACCTCCCGCGCAGCACACACCACTCCAAGCAAATGCTGGCGAACAAAACTTAGTCAGTGAAGCAGAAGAATTGGCAAAGAGGACGAAAATAGAGGATGAGAATGACGTTGAAAGACATCAATAACAACATCAAGAGAAATCAGGCAGTGATTTCGAAATAAGGAGACCTAATAACAATGAAATTGTTCTTCCCTCCGGTCAGGTAACATGTTAAATGACATTATTAAGGAAATGGCCAGGCATATTGATATATTGAATTGAATTCTATTTTTAATTCAATTGATTTGTGGTTGAGTGATGAAAAACGTATGAGAAGAGGTGTACTGTTAGATTATGTTGTGATAGACACTAAATAAGTAATATGTTTAATAGTACACAATAAATCCATAAAAATTGGTTGAGCAGGTAATAATATTGTTATTGAATATAAAACAGGTGATTTAAGATCATGTCGAACCCTGTTATGGTGACAAAAAAGAATCAGGCTGAACTGTTATTCTAATGTCCATACTGTCATGGAAAGCTTTAAAAAGCTGCTAAATGAAGAGCAACTACAGGCATTTAGAGAAACAGTTTTTAGAGGCTTGTTAGAAATAGGAAATCTTGAATGGATGAACGGTCAACTTCTTGTTCTAATAGCAGAAAACCATGTTAAAAAGCTTAACTAGAAGATCTGGAAAGACCGGATTTATTTTCACATAGGTAATAGAGTGGTGGATTTCAGAAAGAAGGAATTAGCATTAATAACGGGATTTAAGATAGGAGGTGAAAAACCAAAAATTCAAGATAGTGTAGGAAACATATGGAGAAGGTACTTTAATGGAAGGAATAATGGTTCTAGGGCAGACATAAGTAGAGCTTTTAAGGAGTTTGACAATACCATGTCTTCAACAATCTGTAGTTGCTCACCTGCACTACCATGAAATTTTGATCCCTTGAAACATCATATGTTGGTGTCCCAATGGCCCAAAGTTCTTTCATCTCCTCGATAAGGGTTGGAGATAAATGTCTATTTTTTTTTACTGGATCATTGGGACCCGGACAGATTAGAGTCAAAAAGATAAAGTGACTTTTCATGCACATGTCGGGAGGGAGATTGTAAGGAGTTAACATGACCGGCCAACATGAATAGTTCTTCCCAAACCTTCCAAATGGAGCAAATCCGTCTGAACACAATCCGAGTCGCACATTTCGTGGCTCCATTGCAAACTGAGGATGACAACGGTCAAAGTGTCTCCAAGCTTCACAGTCCGAAGGGTGAGACATCATACCCTCTTTTGTTTCGTGCTCAACATGCCATGTCATGTGTTTTGCAGTAGCAGTCGAAGCGTACATCCTCTGAAGTCGTGGAGCTATTGGGAGGTAATACAGTTTAGACAATGCTGACTTATTTCGTGGTTTCTTTCTACTTTGAGGAACCGGTTTGTATCTGTTTCCACCACAGAACTTGCAGAATTCAAGTGTCTCATCATCCTTCCAGAACAACATACATCCTTTCGGGCACGCATCAATTTCTATATAAGGTAGCCCCAACTTAGACATTAATTGCTTCATGTGATAATATGAATCCGGAAGGTTATGATCACGTGGTAGCATCCCGCCTACTGACTGCAAGACTCTAGTCATACAAGTTTCAGGGAGACTGTATTCAGCTTTTATGTTCATAAACTCTGTAACGGCGGATAGCTGAGAGTATCCCTCACAATCAGCATACAAGGGTTGATCAGCTGCTTTTAAAACATCTTGAAATCTTTCAGCTAAACCTTCATCTACATAAGGTTCATAAAATATCGGATTTTCATCCTCATGTGGTTGATACGAGGTCGAAGCTTCAGGAGGATCGTTAGATGGTTGTGGGGGGTTGAACTGAGACATCGATGCACCGTATGCGTCATATACCATACGTTGCTCCCATCTCATTTCAGCAGGGTCTCCCCACGCACTCATCTCTGGAGGGACGTTACGAGACGAACCTACCGTTTGTGGTAAAACAGATGGATCCAAAGGTTCGCCATGAGAAGTCCAATTGTAATAATTGGGAAGGAAACCGTCCGCGTACAAATCCCACCCAACTTCGTCTGGGTGTTTAAAGTTGAGATTTTTACACTTTGAACATGGACATCTGATTTTATCACCACTCATATAAGCCGGGTGTTCAAGTGAGAATTTAATAAACTCCTCAACTCCTTCAAGAAAATTTGATTGCATTCCGTACAATACCGCATGTTTATCATACATCCAAATTCTATTTTGTCTATACATTATGTCTGAATATTATAATAAAAAAATTATACAGGTTAAAAACTCTAAATTATAAACATTACCAACATATTACATGTGGAGTATTATTAATATATTAAAATCAACTAATTCCCTAAAATTCCCTTAAAATTAACTAATTCCCTTAAAATTAACTAATTTCCTTAAATTTCACTAAATTTCACTAAAATTCCCTTAAAATTAACTAATTCCCTAAAATTCCCTTAAAATTAACTAATTCCCGTAAAATTAACTAGTTTACTTAAATTTCACTAAAATTTCCTTAAAATTAACTAATTCCCTAAAATTCCCTTAAAATTAACTAATTCCCTTAAAATTAACTAGTTTCCTTAAATTTCACTAAAATTCACTAAAATTCCCTTAAAATTAACTAATTCCCTAAAATTCCCTTAAAATTAACTAATTCCCGTAAAATTAACTAGTTTACTTAAATTTCACTAAAATTCACTAAAATTTCCTTAAAATTAACTAATTCCCTAAAATTCCCTTAAAATTAACTAATTCCCTTCAAATTAACTAGTTTCCTTAAATTTCACTAAAATTCACTAATTTCCTTAAAATTCACTAATTCCCTTAAATTTCACTAAATTTCACTAAAATTTCCTTAAAATTAACTAATTCCCTAAAATTCCCTTAAAATTAACTAATTTCCTTAAATTTCACCAAATTTCACTAAAATTCCCTTAAAATTAACTAATTCCCTTAAAATTAACTAATTCCCTTAAAATTAACTAGTTTCCTTAAATTTCACTAAAATTCACTAAAATTCCCTTAAAATTAACTAATTCCCTTAAATTTCACTAAATTTCACTAAAATTTCCTTAAAATTAACTAATTCCCTAAAATTCCCTTAAAATTAACTAATTCCCTTAAAATTAACTAATTTCCTTAAATTTCACTAAATTTCACTAAAATTCCCTTAAAATTAACTAATTCCCTAAAATTCCCCTTAAAATTAACTAATTCCCTTAAAATTAACTAGTTTCCTTAAATTTCACTAAAATTCACTTAAAATTAACTAATTCCCTAAAATTCCCTTAAAATTAACTAGTTTCCTTAAATTTCACTAAAATTCACTAAAATTCACTTAAAATTAACTAATTCCCTAAAGTTCCCTTAAAATTAACTAATTCCCTTAAAATTAACTAATTGCCTAAAATTTCACTAAAATTCACTAAAATTCACTAAAATTCCATTAAAATTAACTAACGTCCAATAATTAATATTATTAAACTATAAACATGCACAATACGTTAATGACATTAATTTAATCCACAATACTAAAATTATCAACATCTTAATCTTATTAATAATGCACATTTAACAATTTACTAAATTAAATAATATGAGCAAATCCAATAATTTGAGCATATATATAATAAACACATTTAAATTAAATTAACTAACCCTAATTTAAATCATTATTAATCCTAATATAGGCCGCCTTAATTAACAATAATTGCCAATATAAAGAAATCATATACTTATATTTAATCATATATATATATATATATGATTAAATATAAGTATATGATTTCTTTATATATATATGATTTCTTTAAATAATACTTACATTTAACTAATATTAATAATATGCATTTAAATTATATTTAATCATATATACTTACATACGTATTTAACTAATTTACGTAATTTTAACCCTATATTTTAAAATTAATAACATATGTATTGCCAATATTATATTTAATAATATACTTACATATGTATTTATTAACAAATTTACATATTTAACTAATTTACAAAAAATACGTAATTCAAATTACATACCTTATCTGCATAAACAGGAAAAATGATATGAGATGGGTAGATTACATCCTTCAATTCTATATGGAATTCTATCTGGAGTACGTAGATGGTGTGATTTTGTTGAATGAAGCCGAGGCTGCATATATAAATTTTGTAGTCACGGACTTAGTCACGGATGTGTCCGTGACTACATTTTTTGTACGAATTGTCGGTGCACTTTAAATTTGGAACGTTGAAAAAATCAATTTTGCACTTGTCACGGAATTAGTCACGGACGTGTCCGTGACTAACTGTAGTCACGGTACTAGTCACGGACTTGTCCGTGACTAATTTCAAATTTAAAAAAAATCCCGCCGGAGGTGAAAATGGGTTGGCCGGAACACTTTAGTCACGGACTAG